AAGGTTCACAAACTTTTAGGCACTACTGTATGTTGGTATGTGGTGATTTTTGAGTTGAAGGATAGAAAGTTTCACACAGGGCAAGGCTAGGCAACTTCCTGGTTGCTGGGGGACAACATAAAATCGGGGAGAGAGATGATGAGAGAGGGGTTACAGTGGATAGGGATATGACACTTGTGTGGGTCTTGGGCTTTCTGTTTATCCAGGGCTGGGGCGGGGAGCATTGAGAGGGATTTTGTGGGGGTTCAACTCTGTTAAGCTTATTTTAGCACACAAAATACAGGAAAATATACTGCAGTGGTCAGAGGGGACTCTGGGACTGAAGAAAATATATCTAAAAGTTGGACATAATCCTCTATTAAGTAAGGTTTAATAGGATCTGGTTTAATTAACAGACACTACTACCTAACCCAAATCTCCAAATTTAACAAAAAGAGGAAGTATTAAGTATGGATGTTTCCTCTTCTTCCAAATCATTTTTCTTCCTTCTGCTGTTCTATAGGTAACATATAGATTGTTGTTAAGTGAATAAATATTAATAAATTAGTGGTAGAGAGCAGAAACGCATCCAAAATAATTTTTCTTCTATAGACCATTTGTTCCCGATGCTTGTTCTTTTAGGTTTTTGCAAGACTTTCATGTCTTATAACTTGGATATTTAAAGTGAAATTTGAGGGGGATTCGAAAAGTTTAGGTCCATCTGTAATTTGGTAGCTGCATATGTATGAGTTGGTTCCTGGAGTAAGAGAGATTCAAGAGACAGTTATTTAAACAGCCATCTGCAAATTACTCCATTATTGTTGAAGAGATGTATCTCCTTGCTGGTTTATTGAAAGGCTGTTAGAAATAGTTAGAATCATCAGTTAGAATTATACAACATGGGTGTATATTGGTTGTAACTTGAAAATAGATCTTCCAAGAATTGCTGGAGATCTTATAACCCCATTCCACTCATCTCAATAAACCTTGCTAAAGAAAATTATTTAAGAATCGTATTTAGAAAAGCATTACTTGCAATTTAGCCTGCCGCCCAGGACCTGACATTATACTTGTGTATAGTTGAATTTTCCTGTGGAAAATCTCTTTTCCATCTATTATTCGGTGCCTCTCTCACACTTACATTAATTGTTCTACAGGGCTATTAATAACCGCCTAGAGAAAATAATGAAGGAATTGGATGAGGAGGTAAATGAATAATTTGTTTTATATTTTGATTGCATATTAAACACGTTGTTTTGAATTTCTGAATTTATCTTTTTAATTTGAGACTCTGTAGGTATATCCTTAGAGACGTTAATGAACTTGTAGCCTAGAAATATCTAATAGTGTTATAATAAAAATAAATATGGAGTTACAGTTATGGAAGATTGTGAAAGGAAAGTAAACTATTTTGTATGTAGTCAGTACTTGAACTTACATACATGAAAATCTTGAGAGGTATGTTTGATTAGTCTCCAAATTAATGCAGAACCAGTTTTGAAGGGGGGAAAATCAGTTCAACTGTTTGGTGGCGCTTTGATGCATCTTGGGTACAGAGTCTTTCCTGAAAACCCCCGAAGTCACACGTCTTATTAGCTAAATCACACTGTTTTTATTTGGCTTTTAATAGATTGTAGGCATAGTATTGTCTTCTGAATATTGGGGGTGTATACTAGATGACTTTTAACTCCCCCCCCCCAAATAGACTAAAAAGTTTAAAAGCATATCTAAAATCAGGTGAGGGAAGAGGCCACCTGATACCATGGGAAGTGTATTGGGGAGGGGAGGGAAATCCCCTCTAGAACTTAGGAGAACCAAATTTAACCTTAGGTATCTATGTGTGTTGTTTACATTTCTACCTTGGCTGGTTTGTTTGTTGGGTTATATTTTGTGATAGTAGCACTGCATCAATGAAAGGGCATGAATGTTTCTCAGTCCCAGCTATGCAAAAAAAAAAAAAAAATTCTTTTTAAAGGCACATAAGTTATATGTTGCTTATTCATTGTTTGTTTTGATAAGAAATACACTAAATGCCAGTATTTTATGTGTTATTTAGCTAATGAATGCTTGCTTATTAATGAGATCTAGGCAGAGGTCCTCTTTGCAGTGTGCCATGGGACAGTTCCATCTCTCAGCTGGGTGGCAATACTTAGCTGGCCTTATCTGGGCTCAGAAGCTAAGCAGGGTTGGACCTGGTTAGTGCTTGGATGGGATTCCTCCATGGCTACCCTGGGAAGTTGAAAAACACCCCAGAAGAAGGCAGTGGCAGATATTTTTGCACTCTTGCCAAAAAAGCCTACAGGGGCATGCCTCTAAAGCCTCCTGGAGATAAGGTCAATTTAAAGGAGATATTTTTTATCCTGCCAAATAGCTCTTTTGGCATTAGTGATGTAGCCAGGCCTGCAAATCAAGTGCACTGAATTGATTGCTCTTTATCTTTCATACCTTGAGCCCCCATCAGTCAATGTGTCAATGAACTTAGACCCCAGCAAGTTAGTAGGATTTTGTTTACTAGTGCTAGAGAAGAGCTTGTGCATGTAAACCTCCATCATCTGCAGATTTTTTTTTCATTCAGTATACAGGTTCATACAGCATGCTCTATTATGCTGTAGATTGTTTGGTTTTGGCTTAGTATGTTTTCTGATTCTGGCCTTTGTAGGCTATAAGTCATGGCTTATATTTTAGTATATTTTGCAAACCCAGGCAAATGTGAGAAAATTGAGGCCTTTCCTGATAATCTCTTCTAGAATTCAGTCTCCTGCATCCCCTAAGGGTGGAGCAATAGTTCAGATTGGCAGGAAGTACTATAGTAATAGAATTGCTAGGAGTACTAACACTTACTTAGCGAGCACTCCTTCAGCAACTGTTCGAACTTATGATGGTGCTGAACAAGTGGGATTTACAACCAGTCCTTGTACTTATAATGGTCCTGCATCTCATTTGTGACCTTCACTCCCGGCTTCTGACAAGCAAAGTCAACAGGGAAGCCGGAAAAAGGTCACAAATGGTGATCATGTGATGTTGCGCTTAACAATGTTGTGGGATTCACTTAATGAAGTACCGGAACTGCCGTCGCTAAGCAGTGCTGTCGTGTGATGTCACACTTTACAACCGCGTCGCTTAGCAACAGAACTTCCCGTTCCAGTTACTGTCCTTAAGTAAGTATTGTACTGTATTGTGTGTGTAGATAGAAATCCATTTTGCTTGCTCAAAACACTTTGTTTTCAAACCATAAAGCTCTAACACATGGAACTGTGTGACTGCTCTGCTATTTGGAAGCAATTTGGTATGAACCCATCTGCTGAGCATTATATTGTATATTTGCTGCAGCCAAATGAGAAATGTTTTTGATTTTTGTATTAAGATTTGATGGACTCCTTATTGTAATTTTAGAAAAATGTCCCCATCATATGTTTCTGTTCCTCCATGATCTTTCTAGACCTCTTCAAGGAAACATCTAGAATCTTCCTTCCGACAGCTGGAAAGGGAAAAGGCTCTTCTCCAGCATAAGAACACAGAATACCAACGGAAAGCAGAACACGAAGCAGATAAAAAACGCAATCTAGAAAATGATGGTATGTTCATAACATCATTTGGTATAATAAAGAGAAATTATATTATTTGTGGTATCAGAGTAGTAGGAGAGCAGTAATGAATTCAACTCTTTCTTTGCTGCTTGGAATAACTTGTAACATACTGTTATGAGCCCATGTGGTGGAATTAGTACTTTGTTTTTATTTCAGTGAACAGTTTAAAGGATCAACTTGAGGATTTGAAAAAGAGAAATCAAAACTCCCAAATATCGAATGAAAAAATTATTCAGCTACAAAGACAGGCAAGTTACTTTTTTGTTTTAAGTTAGATACAGTGGTACATAAAATTCTAATTTCTAAGTCTTTATATTTCAAAACTATAGGATGTTATACTTTGCTACAGTAAATAGGAGATAGTATCTGTTATAAAAGCTTGATTTTTTTTTTATTGGTATGTAATGGTGTGATATATTTTTATACCTCAATAGCTGGATGAAGCCAATGCCTTGGTGCGCACAGAGTCTGATACAGCAGCCAGGTTGAGAAAGACCCAGACAGAAAATTCAAAGCAGATTCAACAACTAGAGTCTAACATCAGAGATCTGCAAGATAAAAATTGTGCCCTAGAGAATACTAAGATCAGACTGGAGAAAGAATTCCTCAATCTGCAGACAGCTCTAGAGTCTGAAAAAAGAGATCGGACTCATGGGTCGGAGATTATCCATGATCTACAGGGTATGAAAACCAGTCCCTTAGAAAGTGATTTTCGTATCATTTATCCCATTTTTAATTGGGATTTTACTTGCATGTCTAGTATATAATTTATCAACATACCCACATTCACAGGAACCAGCTAATTATTCTGATGTTCCTTCTGCCCTCAGAACATCTCATAGGTTGTTTGGTTTTGTAATCAGAACGTGTAAAGTGTTACACTTTAATTGATGTGTAGATAATACTCTTTTCCTTGTTGAAATCTTTTAAATATTCCTAGGTCGAGTATTTAATTTGGAGGAAGAACTAAAAAATGGAAAGAATACATTAGGTAAAATGGAGGCAGAGAAAAGGCAATTACAGGACAAGTTAACGGATCTGGAAAAGGTAAACTTAAAAAAAAAAATTACATTGTTCATTTGAGCTAATAAAACAAAGTACCATTCATAGCATTACAAATAGGACTATGCAGCACTCCAGATTTGAAGGGGAAAACATGATTCAGAGTCAGCAACTCCTTTAATCAAGCCACACCAGTCCTGGAAAAGATGCAGCTTCTTTAAAGAGTTATTGGCAGATGCTACATGAATGCCCACATTTTCCCCTTTGAGTCCTAGCCACAAATAGTGAAATGGGTGGTGGTTTCCAGTGAATATTTGGTTCATTTGAACAATAATCTCTTTGCTTGTGATGAAGGGTGTGCACAAAACATGTTTGCTTTGAACTTGGAACAAAATAAAAGCCAAAATGAAACGCAATGCAAAAGAGCATAGAAAGAGCAGAACTCACTAACAATTTCAAAGCAACAATTTTCTGTCTTGGCATTTTTAAATGAAGTTCAAGAACAACAGGGCACAAGACCATGCACACATTCCACATACATCCCAGCCTCGACAGACCAGCCAAGCCTACATTGTGATAGTAATCTTAACATTTATGAAATCTCAATAGCAATAACACTGTGTGCTTGTAAAACACACAGCATGTACACATCTTTGCAGTATCCAACTGCAAAATAAAGTTAGCACAACACACATGCCAATATGAACTCTTAACTGCAGTCTACCCACAGAATCTCTAAATTCTCCATAGCAATTTTAAAAAAACAAACAGTAACTTAAGAGGCAGAATGGCAAACATACAGCTGTAAACAGTCATCTTCTGTTTGGCCATGTGGTTAACTTCTGCGTCCCTGTCAACATTTTACTCTCACATCAACACGTCCTTATTGCTTTACTAGAGAAACTAGGAAACTTGAAATGGCCAAGTTTTATTTTGAGATCCAAATAAAATTTCCAGAATATTTGTAATAGCCATTTTGAGGGCAAAATATTTTGCACATCCATGTTAATGAACTATATCTTGACTGTAAGCTGTAAGGAGCTGCTAGGAGGGATTTAATTGTAATTAGAATAAGCAGAGTTGTGTAGTAGTCTGCACCAGAATACAATTAGGGAAACAAGATTTTATATGTGTTCATTTCTATAGATTTTTTTAAAAGAATCCATACTCTCTTCTCCATGCTACAGAGATGAGGGCACACTGGGTTTGCATAACTTTCACATAACTGATTTGTGCAACTAAAAAATGTCAGCACCAGGCAGAATGGTAACCTCATTCTCTTTACACATGTCACTGTCTCTCTTGATTTCCATCCAATTTAGCTTGCTGCCTTGATCAATAGCTCCTATCATCTCACATTAGGGTTTCCATCATAATTTTAATATCAGCTTGTTTACATGGTAATTAAGGTAACAAACTGGATATCTGAGTCAAAGCCTACAATTTTCCTCTCTACAATCAAGAGTTCCAATAAAACATTTTTTGTGGGGTTTCATATTAATTATATTTATGCTTAACAGGAGAAGAGCAACACGGAAATAGATATGACCTATAAGCTCAAAGTCATGCAACAAAACCTGGAGCAAGAAGAGGTCGAACACAAAGCAACAAAAGCTCGACTAGCAGACAAGAACAAAATATATAAATCAATTGAGGAAGCGAAATCTGAAGCTATGAAAGGTATGCATTTAATATGTGTTCATAAGTTCACTTAACTTATTTATATCCAGTCTTTTATCCAGAAATAGGAGTGTGACAATTTAGCTTCAAGATGACTCCACAGAGAAATGACTTCTTGACTAAGGTTATACAGCCAGCTCAGGAATGGAAGGGAGATTGAAAAAGACCTACCTGTGTATAAATCCCCATATTTCTCTGTTATACCTCAGAAGCTAATTAATTTAATTTTAAACTTTTGATTGATTGAGATTGATTGATTATGTGCCATCAAGTCAGTGTTGACTGTTAGTTACCACACAGTATTTCTCCATGATGATCTGTCCCTAATCCGGTCTTTCAGGTCTTCCAACAGCACACACAGTTGAGTCCATCTACCATGCTGTTGGTCTTCTTCTTCCTCTCTTTCCTTCCACCTTTCCTAGCATTGCAGCCTTCTCCAGGGTCCTAGGTCTTCACATGATGTGTCCAAAGTAGGATAATTTGAGCCTGGTCATTTGTGCCTCAAGTGAGAACTCTGGGTTGTTTTGTTCAATGATCCATTGGTTTGTTTTCTTGGCTGTCTACGATATTCTCAGGAATTTTTTCCAACACCAAAGTTCAAAAGCATCAATACTCTTCCCAGCCTGCTTCTTCAAAGTCCAACTTTCCCTTCATAGTGTTACAGAGAATACCATGGCTTGCACTATTTTAATCTTTGTAGGTATAGACGCATCAGAGCATCTGAATATCTTTTCCAGGGCCTTCATGGCTTCTCTTCCAAGTGCTAATCTGCAACATATTTCTTGACTGCTGAATCCTTTACTGTTATAATCAGTCCCAAAAGACAGAAGCTATCCACCACTTCACTATCTTCATTGTCAGTTCTAAGGCTGGTTCTTCTACCTGTTGTGATTAGTTTGGCCTTTTTTATATTTAATCTTAGTCCCATTTTTTCACTATGCTCTTTGATTTTTATTACTAGAGCTTGCAGATGCTTTGCATTTTGGCTATTAGAGTAGTGTCATCAGCATAGAGCAAATTATTGATGCTTCTTTCTCTAGTTTTAAAACCACTCTCAGCTTCTTCGAAACCAGCTTCCTTTAATATATATTCAGCTTGCTTATTTATTTATTTATTTATTTATTTATTTATT